GCTAGTAAAATACCATGGAAATAAAATCAGAGTGTACCGAAAGTATGTAAGAGGTCAATAATTGGCGTATTTGAAGAAAAAAAATCATCTAATGAGCGTTTGGCAGGGCGATCTTTGCACGATGAATTTAAAAATCTTGAAAATAACATTATACCAGGCGAAACGATTTCACAGAATGATTGGTATTTTTATTAACCAAGCAAGTTGTTTCATTATAATTTAATAATTTCATTTTGAGATTTTTGCAAATGTTGTCAACTGCCTTTTAGGATAGTTTAGTAAATTAACACTGTTGAATCATTGTTATATTAAAAGAAAATAGGGTTTGTAATATAATATGTAAAACAAATATAATTGCTCATAACAACCAAGGCTGTGTGATTACTGGCCAACACTTAGAATAAGTTGAACATTTGGACTTGATAGTTTAAGTTTATTCCATGTGGAGTGTAACATTATTCTACTAAACGTGAAATGCACAATTCAGTTATTTCGACAATATAGCCGAGACTCTCGTGTATGTGTATGGAGTGCCATATCCAACAAACTATGACTAATGCTTTATTTCATAAAAACATTCAAACTTTAGGCTGGATAAAACGAAAAACTAAAAAGGTAATAGTCTGAGTAGCATATTGTACTTGGTGTATACGCATCAATTTTGTGGATTATATCGTTCTATTTCAAATATTGTCATGACCCAATGACAGTGTTATAGTAACCAAATGATCAACAAAAAATATCTTTAGCGCCCGGGTGTTTTCCGGTATAACATGGCTTCATTTACCTACGTAATATTCATTGTTTGCATTTACAAGATTTGAAATCCAATGACGACTTTGTGCATTAGTATGAACTCGGATGGTACGAGGGACGAACTTTGCTGCGTCATGTCATGTCTGAAATCAGACGAGGGTGACAAAAAAAGCGTTGTCTCCATTTAGTTTCGCCTGCTATTTGTGTCCATAACTTTAAAGATCCAGCTGAACTAATATTAGTCAATGTTTCTTTTAGAATATAAAACATGCTACATGAAGCAAGTGATTTCTTTGATTTTATCAGAACATTAAAACATTTTAACGATTCAAGACAAACCGGAAACAGAGCCAAGCTTTAAAAAAAAAAGGGCCATCATGTTTATTAATAGCCCGGTGCTGTTTAATAAGTGACCTGCAATTTAGACGTCAGGGTGTCGGAGAATTGTCAGGTCATGGAAACAGACATGCAGCGCTCGTCCCCAACAGCGTGCAACATATTGGTTAGAACCAGATAACCTCGTACATGTAGTGCTAATGATAATAATAATCATAGTGGGTATGTATAAAGCGCACGTATCCACCAGGACTGGTGCTCAAGGCACTACATCATTATTACCCCTGCTCATTAGGCCCATGAGACATTCCAAAATACCATCTCAGCTCCCTGGGGAGTATACAGCTCGATGCAGCCTGTTGGGCGCAAGGAAGCTAATTCAATCACAATAACCATCTCTGCCCTCACAGGTACCTATTTAGTCCTGGGTGGAGAGAAGCAATGAGTGAGAAAGTGCCTTGCCCAAGGGCACACGCACCATGACCCCGCCAGGATTCGAACCCACAACCTGCAGCTTTACCCACAGACCACGAATCAGTGCCCTTAACCACGAGGCCACAGCACTCCACGCTCCTCTATTGCTGACACAGAGCGTGGTGCTGGTGCCGTTGTGAAGGCAACGTAAAATATTAGACATACTACTTGGGCGGATTTTCCCCATTTCTGCACTTTGTTTTCTACGTAAGAAATTCAAGATAGGGTCGGCGGCATAGAAAACATGCCGTTTTTCTTCGGTCGGGAGGCCAAAAAAAAAGGTCGGTCGGAAATGAACCATAGAATGAGAAAGAGACGCCCTAATGACTATAGCACTACAAATTATTAATTCCGTAACGACGCCTACGATTGGTTGTCACAGTTTCGCCTTGGCGGTGGAAGTCAACCTGAACGCCAATTTAATGTAGGCACCGGCAACGTATACTGCGTTGCTGGCCCAAAGTGTTCTATTAATAAGCGATTAGAAAAAAATTCCCATCGCGGCAGAACGTACATGTTGTACGCACTCGCGATCCTTTACAAGTGACCAACACTGTGAATGTTAAAATACAACCATCAGACATCACAAACATGGCTGGACTTGTGGATGTATCACGTTATGGCTGGGACGTCTACATTCGCCGGCTTTTGCTCCTGATGGTGTTGTTGGTCTGCTGTTGCTTTCAACGAGGTTGTTGCGATCTTGCAGGTTGGTAAATCTATAAAAAAAATTTAAAAAACCTATGATTTTAGGACTTGGGCGGAGAAAACGGGTAGAAGCTTGCAAAGTACTTCCAGAAATTTTGTTTCTGAGTCCTGTGTCTTCACACATTGCACTTCTGCTAAACCGGAAGTAAAAATCAAGCTGCTTCGTGCTCTGGAATCATGCTGTCCAGGCCAATTTTGTTCTGTATTATAAAAAGGTTTTGACCTTAACTCATTTGTAATTATTTTGATACTCTGATACAATTTTTCTAGGTATTCCAACGATATTTTCACACCAGGTTTTATTTATATTCCTTGACCAATTTGGAAGAAATTTGTTTTATTTTCAATTTGATTTTAAGGATTCAAATCTAATACAAATTGATAACACAATGACGTCACTGTAATACATACTGAAAATTTCAAGTTCATAATAAAACAAATATAAACCTTTTGGAATAATAGTAATTTGCCCAGGCGGAATAGTAATCCGTACGGGCGGAATTACGTAATCCTGCACGCGCGGATTGGTATTCCACCCGGGAAAATTAATGGGCCGGAATAACTTTTTTTTCACGTCCTCAATAGGCTTTCGAAGAAAATCGCCCAGAATTTTGTCGAAAGATAATGTCAGCCCGTATCAAAAATTTGAAGTAGCCGATGTAGGAGTGTGGGGAGATTAACGGCTATCCTGAATAGACTTCTATCTACATGTAAACTGTTACAAAGGGAGGACAAGTCAAATAAAATTTGGCCATATAGGGTCCCGAAACTCGGATAAAATATGCCGTAATTGTGGTTGGCTTGTACATGTATGCATTGTTTGCTATACACCTGATTTAAGGAAAGGGCGTAAATGCCTCCTTTTGATATCATGGCATTTTGAACGTTGTGTTTCTTAGAAAATATGCTCGGTATGATTGTAATGTTACATTCTAATTGAAGAAGAAAGGCATGTCAGTGAAACAAATCGCAGTCATCGATGCCGAAACGTCAGTGCTGGTTACAGTTAAAGCTGACCTTCAAGTCTGGAAAAAAATCGTTCAAAAACTTCCCCAAATGTATGTATTTATCCCAACTTCTAGGAATTTACCCAAGTTGTTGTTTCACGAGGAATGGAACACTTATATCATCTAAGTATATTCCGAATTTCAGCTTAATCTGTTGTTGCGAACGCTAATGTTACAGCTTAAACCATCTGCACGGAACATTTCGAAGAGGATCAAAACATTCTTTGCCGACCCAATACAATGTGCATCGTTGAGCAAAGCGCCGAAGGCGCTACGGCTGACCGATCTCGGCTAAGAAACACAAGAACGTATGGTAGATTTGCATCTTCATTAGCGTCACTCGGCGTGACATGGTGTGGGTCTCGGTATCGACCAATGTTTGTTAATTAACAACTCGTGAAGGAGGCTTTTATCTAACTGTTTACTGCACACCGTAATGGATAGGAACCTCATTAATATTCGTGTGGCTTGAAAGATTGATAGATATTGCGCACGCCAGTGTTACAATTTTCGAAATTGCAAGTAGCGAGGCCTGTTTTTCCAATTTCAACGAAAAGTAATGAACATATCACAACGACTTTTAGCACATACTTGGATCATTATATAGGGGAAATCAATCCTGAAAGTTGCATGACGATATGGTTTTCCAAACGGGAGAAATCAATTTTCAAAGATTTCACCCGCCAACGTGAACATGCCGGTGTACATGTAGTTTCATTGAGAATAAAGTTATACGTAACCTTTAGAAATCGCCCTTCGCAACCAAATGGCTGTACTGATGTCAGAAAAGCGAACGACGATGGCATTCTAAGAACGGCTACGCGCATCAAAACTGTTTGCGGACGATCAACGGTCCACACATGTGCGCTGTTTTGTTGGCCATTTATAATTACTGATTGAAGGCTTAATTCTATTTTTCAAGTTTTGAGTCTTGATATAATAATTCTACTTTTCAAGTTTTGAGTCTTGATATAATTTTCGAGTTCGTCGCGAACTCAAACTTGAAAAAATAGAATTAAGCCTTACTTTTTGAGTTTGCCTTTACGTGTCGAGTTTCTAGTGTACGTTTCGAGTCGACTTTTCGGGTTTGTATTTATTTTTTGAGCTTTGTATTGACTTTATAAGTCTATATGTTGCGGATTTTACCCTTGACAGAATAACAAGTCATGTTTTGTTTTCGCGTACACCCCATTCAGATGACGTTTGGGGGGGGGGGGCTAATCGCGTCAGAGGGAGGCTGAAAGCATTTTTTTTGGTCATGACTTTATGATTAATGTGTGTTTATTTATTTTGTTGTGTTTTTATTCATTTCCGGCAAGACCTCCATAAAAGGAGAGAACAAATACCGGATATACATATGTTTTAGCTTTGTATTTCGCCACTGGTGGCAAATTCAAACGGTAGTTGTCCATTTATAGTTGCTATATTAAATCCCTGATATATTCCAGCCCTCCTTGTTGATGGAAAACAAACGTCACAGAGCACAGAATGGTCGCCTCACGAATCTGATCAGGCCATCGATGGACAGACGTATACCTACTCGCACACTGGTAAGAACTATACGAAAAGGTTAAAAAAAAAAAAAAAAGGGGGTGTAAATCATCTTTGCTATTAAATACACATTTAACAAAATGGGCGTCTGTAAGGGTGTAAGTGTGGTGGGGTGGGCAAATGCCCCCCCCCCCTCCCCCTCCGCCAAAAAAATGATAAATGAAGAATATGCCGGGGGAAGGTACACGGATGTGTGCTTTCACCCCCAACAAAATCCTGGCTACGCCATGGCTACTTCCCTCCTTAGTCTCCTCGATCCTTATTCCCAACCCATGCGAAACTTCGGCCACTAAAATGTTACCCCCATCGCCATCCTAATCCCCATCCCCAATCACTATTCCCATCCCAACTCATCCCCATCCCCATCCACATCCATCCTCATCCCCATCCCCATCCCCATCCCCATGCCCATGCCCATGCCCATCCCCATCCCCATCTCCATCCCCATCCCCATCCCCATCCCCATCCTCATCGTCATCCCCATCACCATCTTCATCCCCATCCCCATCCCCATCCCCATCCCCATCCCCATCCCCATCTCCATCCCCATCCCCATCCCCATCCCCATCCCCATCTCCATCCCCATCCCCATCCTCATCGTCATCCCCATCCCCATCCCCATCCCTATCCCCATCCCTATCACCATTCCCGTACTGATCGCTCTCACTTTCTATGCCCTACCCCTCTACTTCCACCCCACCCCTATGTCCATCCCCATGCCCACCCTCCCCTTCCCGATCCCTTGCACTTGCCTCTTCGTCCCCTCCCTCCCAATCCAATCATACCGATATTTAATCAGCATTACCCTTTATAGCATCAACATCGCAATAATATTTTTTTCACAATCCTTGCCATCACCACTCTCACCAAATTCGTATAAAATCATCAACAACATTAATTTTGAATACAATTCAAGGGCCCATGTAATATATTCTGTTCAGTACAATTCTTGGAAATTTACCTTTGTGTCCTACTAATCTTTTTTTTTAAATGTTATTTTGTCGTTTTCAAGGGTCTTTTTATACGAAAGTTCACATTCATGAGCCAAAGTGTGATGTCATATCAGACAGAAACCTATAATGTTGCGATTGGTATTTGCACTAAACGTTGCCAGAATTGTTGATATTTCGCTGTTGTGTACATTCTTTTCTTTAGTTATTCGTTGTTGTGTCAGAGTGTGGCAGTAAACCAGTGAGCACACAATTTCTCACAAATGTTTTCAATGAACAAAATGTTTAAGTTCACAATTTGAAAAAAAACAACCTAATATGGACAATGTCTTACTGAAATGACATCACGGGAACAGCGCCCTCTTGTCTAGAAAAACATGGACAATTTTAGATATTGAAAGAAGTGCACTTTTCAGTAAAATTGACGAAAAAGGAACGTCACTTAGTTTTTACACACTTAACAGGATTAAAAAGTAGCACATTTTTTTAAAGTTCTTAAGAAGCATTCACTTCATGGTCCCTTTTAATATTCTTCCTCTCTTTCATTCCAGATGACACTGATCCACATCCTTGGTGGCTGCTGGACCTAGGTAGCAATCACAACTTGAGTAGAATCAACGTCACTCTCCGAGAGGATAGCGGGGGTAACCTGTCTTACTACTCTTCACCCCAAGAATCATTATTCGTTTAGGTTCTTTATTTTGTTAAGATATTTTTTTGCGAAACTGTAATTTCCGAAGGATAACTGTCTTTCCTTTTCTAGGTTTTCGTTTCATCGGGGCGATAGTGCGAGCCGGACTGAGCCCCAACTTCACCGAGAACCTGCCGTGCGGCTCACCGGCTACCAGCGAACAGTCTAAGAATGGAGCCGAGATCACGTTCCTGTGCGAGCCACCGCAGACGGCCAGGTACGTCAGTGTGGACATCGATACTTCCATGCCCGGTGTAGATGCGGATCAGGCATATCTGCAACTTGCCGAGGTGGCGGTGGACAAGTTCACGTCTGGAGAGGGTGCTGGTAGGTGACTACAGTCGTTTGACATTACCTAGGCCAAGCTTCAATAAACAAGGAGTTTACAACCTGTCTGCAGAATTTGGCAGGTTACTAAGAACCGGTCGGTGTGTGTAATCTTTGACCCATGTTCAGTTGAAACTTGACCAACTTTTGATTTCTGTCGTGCTACACGGCAAATACATGGCATGGTGTCAAACGCCATGCCCTTGCCGCGTCGAATCAAATTGAATTTCAACGTGGGCCTAAGGCGTATTTGGAATACGCATGCGTTGTCACATAAGCGGAAACATTTTGAAAACAAAAATTGACAATACAGAAACTGTGTTTTTTGTCTTCTGGGAAGTGTTTGGCTGCTGAATTATCCCAGCAGAGATTTTCGACTATGGACACTGACTCTTCTTGGACATTAAGTGCCCACTTTTGGTTGTCATCAAAATCCTGATTCATTTCAGCCCTCCCTGTTTATGGGAAAAGTACATCACAGAGCACAACATGGGACTCGCACCCTTCTTATAAGGCCGTCGATGGAGAGACATATACCTACACGCACACCGGTAAGAACAATGAGAAATGCATCTGCATTTGCTGTAATCCCACGTTTTCGTCAAATTCGTCTCCCTCGTCACCTTCGTCATTCGTAATCCTCTCCTCCCTCTACCATTTGCACCCCCAATCTCCTTATTGGTCCTCATTCCTACCCCATGCCAACGTCCAGCCATCAAATCCCCATTAATTCAATTCAATAGACATGTATTTCCGTACCTTGCAGAGAAAATAATAATTAATGGTAAGAAAATTAAACCAATGTGTGAAGGCCGATTCACAGAAAGCAAAAGCGGAAGGCCTCCATACAATAATGCATTCGGAACCCCCCATAATAATCCCCGGCCACATTCCAAACCCCGTCCATCACCATCCCCGGCCATATTCCGATCCCCCCCCCCCCCCCCCCCGTCACCGCACCGATCCCCGGCCACATTCCGATCGCCGTCCCATCACTATACTGATCCCCGGCCACATTCCGATCCCCGTCAATCACCATACTGATCCCCTGCTGAATTCCGATCCCCGTCCCATCCCGTAACTGATCCCCGGCAACATTCCGATCCCCTTCCTATCACCATACTGATCTCCTTCCCCATCCCCTCACTGATCATCATACCAACCAAATCTGATCCTTGTCCAATTCCCCATACTGGTACCCATCAACATACTGATGTCTGTCCCCATCCCCTCACTGATCCTCTTACCAACCAAATCTGATCCTCGTCCAATTCCCCATACTGGTACCCATCCCAGGCTGATCCCCGCCCTTATCCCAATACTGGCCCCGTCTGTATGCACCTACTGACCCCCATCCCTATCTCCATACTGGCCCCCGTCCTCATCCCTATACTGATTCCCGTTCAAATCCCCGTACTGATCCCCATCACCCACTGATCGCTATCCCCATGCCCTCTTCCCTCCCCTGCTATCCCAGGTCCCATCCCCACGTGCACCTCCTGTCCATCACCACCTCCCCTCCTAATCCCTTCCCTTTGCCTCTCCGTACCCATCCCCTCGCACCCCAACTGTAACAATCTTTATCATGTTCACCATCGTGAACCAACGTCACAACGTTATTCGCAGTTGTTAAAAGTACACCAACTAAATTTGAATTAAACACATTTTCTTCCTTTCCTACATTGCAGATGTTAATGATCCCCATCCTTGGTGGCTGCTTGACCTAGGTAGCAAGCACTGCTTGGGTAGAATCAACGTCACTCTCCGAACGGATGGATGGGGTAAAATTTGCTAAAGATCAATCACTTTGATATGGCAAACTTTCACTAATTTCAAAATGTATATGCATTCAAAATAATATGTTATGTATACAAACTTAATAAGGAGATTTTTAGAATCACCCAGAGATATTTATAAACATCATATATAAAATATCAGACATTCTGATAACCATGTCTGTACATAATACAGTTGAACTGTTTTTTTTTCTTCTCTAGGTTTTCGTTTCATCGGGGCGATAGTGCGAGCCGGACTGAGCCCCAACTTCGCCGAGAACCTGCCGTGCGGCTCACCAGCTACCAGCCAACAGTCCAGGGAGGGAGCCAAGATCCCGTTCCTGTGCGAGCCACCGCGGCTTGCTTGGTATGTCAGCTTGGACATCAATACTTCCATGCCCGGTGTAGATGCGGCACATGCATTTCTGCAACTTGCCGAGGTGGCTGTGGAAGAGTACACGTCTGGAGAGTGTGCTGGTAGGTAGCTTGAAATCAAGTCGGCATTGGCCGGGTTTAGTCCGCCTGCGCCGCCGCACAGCGCACCGCACCGTACCACCGGCGCTGACAACTGCATACCGTCCTAGTTTTACGTGAAGCGCGCGGTATGCGGCAACGATTCTAGTCTTCTAGATTCTAGATTCCCTGTCCCCATTGTCCTTTGGATTTCAAATATGGGGACAGGTAGCTAGCGGTGAATCTTTCATACATCAGGAGGCATCCCTCCTGATGTATGCAAATGTATGCATGACGTGTACAGGTCTGAATCCCGCCTCCTGAATTGAACATCACAACGGTAACGTTTGCCCGAACCAGCCTATTACAAACAAAAAACGACAATAGCCGCGCCATGATTGTACAATTTCGGAAAAGATTACCTTCGATTTTTTTTGCTAAATTCGAAAGTGTCTCTGGCAAATATTAATAAAAAGAGAGAGAGAAATTACAGCTCAGTGTTTAAAACCTATGCAGATGAAAAAAAGTTACTTTCATGGAGACACTGATGATTTTGCGTACTTTTTGTGTAGTAAGGCAAAAGTGAGTTTTTCGATAATCGTGTGTTGAATCACCGTCAATGCATGCACAGAGCTGAACAGTAATTTGAAAATAAATAATCATAATGCGCGTTAGCTACCGATCCTCATATATTTAGGGGGAGGGGGGGGGAGTGGGAAACAGTCTGCAACGATTCCTGCATCCTCGGCCCCATATGCGTGTACGTCGACCCGATTCCAATACAGACTTCAATAATCTGTACCTACGTGCACCTTGTACACAAGGCATGGACAATGTTTCAAAAATTGAACGGAGCACTCTGATTAGCTAAGAATCAGGAGGATATGAATATTTATATTACACGTACCTAACATTGACGTGTCTCGATGCGTGGTGAATGTCTCACAGGTACCGGTGCCACACACATAGCCTGGAGCGAATCGAGTGCTTGAGAAGCGAAAGCTTATTCCTGGGCCGTGCCGTGGACACCGAATGATTCGAACATGCCACCTAGCTAGAAACCTTAATTAGACCCCCAGGAACAAGAAAAGCCATGTTGGCAAAATATTAAGTGTGAAGATGGCGGCCATCTTGAATTTCAAAATGGACGCCATTTTAGGATCATTTTTGGCAATAAGTCAACTTGTAAATGTCACATTAAGAAATCAATCTAGGTGGCTTTACACCCCCAATAAATAAACCCCCATCCAATAAATAGATATATTGCTTCTTTTTTTTTGGACGAAACATGTTTTAGATAGTGTCATTGCGTTTATATAGCAATATTTCTTGAACAGATTGAGCAATTCCAGTATTTGTTTAACCAAAAGTAGCTGATGAAATTGGCTTTCCGGTCATTATTATCTTTGGTGCTACATAGGTTTTTTTTTAAATATGAAATATATTTTTTGAGGTTTGGGTTCCGATTTTTATCATACGATCAGCATCTGACATTGCTGGTAAATAAAGCAATATGTAGTTAGGGCTCAATCTTTAGTGTATCTAGTATTTATTGGTTTGACACCTTTAGGACATTTTGACGAACTTTTTGTATGATTTGGGTAGGCTTTATACGAGTTATGTTTTTTATTTTTTCTCTTTTTCCAGCTCCTGGTTATTTGGGATGTTTTGGGGACGCAAAAAATCGTTCCCTAACGGTCGGTCCAGCACTAGATCACAATGAACAGTCGGTAGAGTGGTGCTTCAGAAACTGTTTGGAACCTACCGAGTATAATTATGCGGGACTGGAATACGCACACGAATGTTGGTGTGGGAATGAAGACTACGACAAACACGGTAAAGAGCCGGATTCTGATTGCATATATTTCTGTTCCGGAAACAGCGACCAAATCTGTGGAGGCGATTGGCTCTTATCCGTGTACAGAGGTGAGTACAAAAACGAACCAACTGAACACGTTTTACAGTTCATTCAAATGTACTGTGGATTTTCATTCAAAGCCAGTTGACTGCATCACAAGTCCTCAGAAGTCCATCATAAATCAACCAGTCCTTCGTCATGTCACAAACTATTGAAATAAAATGAGACAAGGGTATTCCTTTCTCAACATTCATCCAATGTTAAGTCCCAGTCACACATTCTCAGTTTGTAGCTGTACGGTTTAAAATTCGTGATAAAGTGTGGGAGTACCGTATTCATCCTTGGTACATCCATGGTTATCATTCATCTTCCTTGGGTATTCGTGGAGAGGCTACGGAAGTTTAAAACTTTTCATAACTTCCGTGGTAAACCGCCATGAACATTAATCCGTAGTGCAACCGTGGGACATCCGTGGGACAACAGTACTTATTCGTAATGTTATTCGTGGCTTTATTCTTGCATATTCTTGGAGATTCGTAGCTCATTCGTGGTAGTAATCTCTACGAATTCGCTACGAATGTCCTTCGGATATGTCAGGATGTGCTAGAGTTCTGCTAATGTTGTACTACGAATATTCAAGCTTTATTCGTAGAAGAACCTTGGTCAACCGTGGCCCAATAACAGACAACCGTGGCGTTAACGTCATTATTCTCAGTAATACCGTCGATATTCTTCACCAATCTGTCCATATTCTTGACAAACCGTGGTGTATTCGTAGAGAAACCGTAGATCAGTCGCGGCTATCCGTTCTGAAACCGTAGAGCATTCTTAGAACTTCAATTTCTCCATTAATCTCGACGGTTCATCGTGATCGATTGATTTTTGGTGAACCGTGGATACTCGTTTCTCAAAACCGTAAATGTGTGACTGGGGCTTTACTTTTGGGCGGACTTGTGAAGTAGCTTGCGGTTGACTTGCGAACGGAATTGTGATTGACTCATGAACAACATGGATCGCATCATCAGAAGTTCACAAGATACGTATTATGTTGTCTTATTGCAGTAAAACAAGGAGTGTGTAGTAACGACATAGGACCACCCACCAACGGAGACCACACCATCACCAACCCGCGTTCACTGTCTTACAATCTCATCAACTACAAGTTCTTCGGGACTCGTGTGGATTTCTCCTGCGACCCTGGATATACCCTCCATGGAGCATCCAGCATTGAATGCATTGAGACTGGCTACAACAACGTCACGTGGAGTGACTCGGTACCAACATGTGAAGGTATTGAATAAGTAAAATACATTTACCTATCATAATCAGAAAAAAAATGAAACTAGACTTTAATACACACAGTTTTGTCTTCGAAATAATGAATACTGACTTCTTCGATTCAGACCTAAAGGGTAAGTCTATACTATATGTAGGCTAGTTCAGTTGAACTTCATTGTGAATGTACGTATGAAGAGGCTCGTTGATCACAATAGGCGTACGTATATAGGGACTCGGGAGCGAATCTTTTTTTCCCAAACGACATCCCCTTTCCATCTTCTGATTGGTCCATTATGCATCTTTAATGCCTTGTTCTCCATAATCAAACCCAAGATAGGCTTTACGTCTTGTGAGATATGTTCCTGCATCACTTTACTTATTTAAATGGTAAAATGAGAAGAAGTGAAAAACGCTCATTGAGATTCGAACTTGGTTCGCCTGATTAGAAGTCAGGACTTCTTCCAACCAGTCCACGAATGAGCTGCCAATCACTGGTGATTTAAACACTAGTATAGCCTGTTATATAACTTATTCTCTAATTTCCCTGGACATCATGGATATGCATAACACAGAGAAAGCGCCCTCTTTCGATAGTCCGATCCGGGGAGCGTATTGTTTCCTAGAAGGGCTAGGGCCAAGTCATGCATAATTCTGGGTTTTTTTTTAATCCTTGCAGGGCACTTTAGGTTCTAGTTCTCGTTTTCCTTCAAATTAAAATTATCTCAAAGATCAATTTGTAAAAGAAAAATAGTTGACAAAAATGGGCAGCGACGACGTGGATTCGAACCAGGGATCTTTATTTCCATAGTTCATCTCGCTATCCACTAGGCTACTGTAACTACTACTGCTGCTAGGCTTTAATGTAACTGGTTGACTTTATAACAACAATGCTCTTGATATCATTGTTCTGTTCTCATGAATAAACATTCTGTCCCGATCAAAACTACTGAATTATTCATGATTTGGTCCCTACCGTCCTGGTAATAAGAAATTACGCGACCGAGGAGTTTGAGGGTTCACATTGGCTATTTCACAAATGATTTGCTATTAAGCTCTGTGGTGATTAAATCTCTATTCATTTTACATCTATAGATAATGTTTGTATCAACCCGAATCCCTGCCAAAATGGCGGCACGTGTATTCGAGAGATCACCGGCGATTTATATAACTGTTTCTGCCCCGCCGGGTTTAGTGGAGGGGATTGCCAAAGTGAGTACATTGTTATAAGATTTTAGGCTTTGCATGGTGGAGCATTGGTATCGTTTTGGTTTGTGGTAACACCATGTGGTAATAACTACTGCCCAGTACTTATTTTTAGTTCTGAAAATAACTGTTTCTGCTTGTTATCTACTATAAGCAGTTTTATTTCTGATAAGAACAGTCCTGCTTTAAGTTCTAAAAGAACTTGTCTTTGGTTTCAACGTTTCGACTAGCCTGCTCTAGTCATCGTCAGGGGGACAAATTCTTTTCGGAACTAAAGAGTACCTTGCTATAGAACTAGGAACAAATATGTGCAACAGGGAATTATATACTTGTTTCCTTTCCTGAAATTGTTCAAGGTTCCAATTATATTTGACTTGGACCTTATATCTTCACCGTTTTCACGAAGGGACGGGCATGTAAACATTGACCAATTTTTGTTTCGATTTCGATTTTTTTTCGCTATGTTGCATTAAAACATGGTACTTATAAGCATTCTGACATGTTTCTGAAATTTTTCAAAATTTCATTATTTACTAAATAACATTAATGATGCCGGGGGCAGGCATCTCATTCATTTATTCATTTATTCATTCATTAAATGGTTTATTAAATCAATCATGAATCGCGGCTAAGGGCTGAATTGAACATGATTAACAGTATTTGGAAGGAAAAAAAACATATAGCGTGTTTTAGCCATGACAATTATCTGGTTCCTGTACACACCTGTGAACCTTTTAACCCTGGTCTTTCCACTGACTATCCTTATTGCCTAGTATGATATACATGTATGTCAAAAATCTTATGTAATTAGTCGTCATACTCATTGTAGAAAGGTCCAAATCTCCTTGCTTCTAAGGTGATAGATTTCATGTTTGATGTATCGTGTGTTTCAGGTTGATTATAATGTATGTTGACTCCGATCCTAGAGATAAACAACTTCATGAACACGAACGTAGTAAAATTCAATCACAAGTCAATCAGCCTCTAGTTATAAAGGGACAAAGTGTTCTAATGAACAATAAAACAAAAACCACACAGTCCTTCCTTCATTTAGCATACACAACCTTGCTTGTTATGACTTTACCGGCGACTGACTAATTGGCCATTACTTTTCCGTAGGGTAACCTTCTTAACTGTAAGCAAGGGGAGTAAAACCCGTTAGTCGGGTAAAATTAATGTATGTTGCCTGCAAATTAGTGCTTTTGAAAAAAAAAATGTCTTGCCTTCTCGAAAAAAATAACATTGATTTCTTTCGTTGTATAATCGCCTGGTTTACCATGATAAAGTTTTAGAAGCTTCATTTGACGTAAATGTCTTACCTTTTTTTTTTAGATTCAGCCGATGACCCTTGCATGCCTAATCCCTGCCAGAATGGCGAACAGTGCATGCTACAAGGCAACACGTATGACTGTATGTGCCAAAATGGCGCAACGGGCAACAACTGTCAAAGTGAGTAGCTTACAGACCCTTCGGCCTCCATCAACATTGCTGTATACAAATAAAAACGTTAGAAATGTATCCTTACGCCAATTAAGTATGTTTGGAATCCACCGGGAGGGGGGGGGGAGTAAAGCTGCTGTACATTCGCACAAGTTCCGGGTCAGATTTTTCGGAATCCAGATCCAATTTGACATGGTACTTCTCAGGGTCAGAATGACACCTTTCCTGGTCAAAATGACACTTATTTGGATCAATTGTCCGTGTCACTCTGAGCCGGAAATCTTGACAGAAGTGTTTTAAGTCTTTAAAGTATCATGTTAAAAACAATTCGGGGATCTGATCAACTTTGACCTTGCACTGTTAAGAATGTAATCCAACCATAACAAGTTAATAAAAGCAGTCAAATGAAAACCCCAAATTTAGAACGTATTGAAAGTGAAATGTAATCGATTATGGTTTTTGTTTTATACTGCAGACGCTAATGCAAACACCACGACGATCAATACTGTTGTTGTCATTGTCGTTGTCGTCGTCTTGATTGTCGTGCTGGTCATTGTCGTGGTTTGCTTCGTCAAGAGGTCACGGCGCAGGCGTAGAGGCGGCCGGCCGTCTGCTGTTGATAGAGGGCGTGGACAGGAGCTCATTCAAAAGGTGGGTAGTTTTTCTAAAACGTCAAAAAAAAATATTTTTCGAGCATTATCTTCTGTAAATATGCCAAAAGTTGTCACATTCTTAATCATCCTGATTATGCCTTGTCAAGACCAGTTTCCACTTTTTGAGAATGCAAATACCAGGGTTGAAATTGATTTGACGCTTTGCGGACTCGCAACGTAAGAACTTGTCCTGTCGTCAAACATTTCGTCCTAGAAAGTGCGATCCGACCTTGTTATTAACTCGGAAACGGTTTAAAAGCACAATGGCCTTTTCCTTTTGACGCATTTTTTTACCGTCTTGCAGAAATTGTCGAATGTTTATTGGATTGACACTCTTCAAGCATCGGCATCGGAGTTCAGTGGACCAGCCAAGGAGTTCCCGCGGGACAAACTGCACATCCTCGGCCAGTTAGGCAGCGGCTCGTTTGCTGTGGTCTACAAGGCCGAGGCAGAGGGAATCATCCGTAGGGGAACCAATACGACGGTGGCCGTGAAGATGTTGAAAGGTACGGCATTTTCATAGGCCTAAAGTACTACACAGATGTGTAGTTATTGGAGGGACTATGATAATGTTTCCAACTAAAGGACCCTTCTCTGCCTGTCGTTCATTGACCAATGAGATAACGACATTTGAACAGGTGACCACTGTGTAATATAGCGCGGTCAACTTTAGCGTGGAATTCCATTGACACCTGGGAGGACAAATCAGCTAACTGCTCCACCTGGCGCTCCACCATCACATGCGGAGCTCAGCTTTTCGAGACCTCACGCCTTCAGCGGAATAGAAAAGACGCAGAAGGAAGGAACGGGCGTCTCAGCCTAACTCAACCCCACAGTTCTCCTGCTCCATCTGCGGACGACCAATACGGCCCCGGCTGAGACTATATAGCCACGAGACCAGTCATCAACAGCGAGGGAGACAGCAGCAAAAGTCACAACTCCCCGAATCGAGGATTGCCCGACGACGATGATAATATTTCCAACTAAAGGACCCTTTTCTGCCTGTCAGTCATTGACCAATCAGATAACGACATTTGAACAGGTGACCACTGTGTAATACAGCGGGGTCAACTTTCAGTCACAAGCTCTGTGAAGAGTATACGCGAATCAAAGGTGGGCGGAGCGGGGGGGGGGTTGGTAAATTGCAAAATCCGGAACGGTCCATTCTAATCAAAGCAAGCTCGTCGACGATGGTTGGACAAATGTAGTCCACTTTACGCTGAGAAAGTGCGACGTCACCTCTCCTCCTCCCATTGGCAAAGTTAGGATCGGTTCACGTGCAGTACACAACGACAATGCTCACGTACGTTTAACATATGTGGCGATCACAGACTGCATTTTTTACTGTCTACTTTCATAGAACAGTTTTACAAATTCGCAGATACTCTCCCCGAAAATGATTCACTGCCTTTCAGTAGATTATCACCAAACCAGTAACACCCACAGTTGTGCTTATTTTGCCTCAAAACCCTTTATGACTAAGAAACGGATTCACAACAGCCACAGCGAAACCACAATGCGCCATGTCCACTGGGTCGTTTCAATGTGCGTGAACCAGTAACCATTGTCGCAACCAGTCGACCTCTGTGTGACGTCACGACTACGCCAGCGAATTTAGGACCGGCCTACTTAGTCATATCGGTGGCGAGAGGGAGCCAAATTGTGTGATGACATCATCGTTCGCGGGTTCGCCCTGGTGCACAGCCGCAACGTTCGTAACGAATCCATGTCCGTTGATCGAGTTCATCGATCGAACTTGTTTGATACGGCGTACAAATAACCCTCAACGATGAAAATAAGAAAACCCGCACTTATTGAGTGCATTCGGGGAGCTTTTTACAAAAATTGCACCTCAAACAGCCGCGTTTTTTTCTTCACTTGTCTGACCAAAAATACTTGTTTCTCTACCGTTTTAGAATCTGCTACACCCAACGATCAGAGTGATTTCAAGAAAGAGTTGCAAGTGTATGCCATGTTGGACCGACATCCTAATGTCCTGTCTATGCTCGGATACTGCACTGATAAAGGTACAATTCGAAAAATGTCACAAAAAGTTGCATTTGCAATTTGATGAGTTTTGATTTTTTTTTTAAGTTTTGAAAATTAAAACAATACAGGTATAAACCTGACTGCAATTATGTTTTCAAGTGGCCGACCTAGTGAGTGAGTGTACATCAGGGTGAGTCGAAAGAAAAGGAAACCCAAAATGGTGCCCCCTATTTCTAGAGAAGTTCTGCATCTAGCGCTTTCCAGATCTAGAATATGAAAGCCTCACAAAATAATAAGCTTTCTTTTTGTGAAAATAAATCATTCAAAGCGCTCATGTACTTTTCGAGTTATGGAATTTGGAACACAAACACCGTTTTTTAACATTGTCCACGGATCTCATTTAAGGTATGCATGATATTTCAGTAAAAATGAAACCAGTCGTATCGTAATATGATATCATAATAATCCCATAAGTCTCCGGGGTAGCCAAGTAGAACGCAGGACAAGACTATCAACTCTTGACATGTTGCTTTAACATTGCAAGCAGCAGGTGTTTTCTGAAATAAACGTTTTGATAAGTGCCAGTTGTCATGGTTATGATGTGTTTTTGATATGTGAAAAGTTTTCGTTTTGCTGAAATAGCACTTACCTTTGTCACTGATTCTTTCACTAAAAAAAAACCGTGTTAATTGAGCTTTCATATCCTTGATCTGGAAAGCGCCACATGTAGAATTTTCTCTTCTTTTTTTAATTGTGAAACCCGTTTGGGTTTCCTTATTTTTTGAATCACCCTTTATTATACCAACAAAGTTAAAGTGAACTTGCATTGACTGCCATGCTAGGCGTCTCATTTTGTGCATACTATCTGAATTCACCAGTGAATGAGAGCGGTTTTGACAACTCTTCGTCTATTCCTGCGAATTCACCAAAGGCGTAGCGCCCTCAGATGGCATACATGCAGACGAGATGATTTGTATTTGTACTAATTTTGATGTCTTTCCCTACAGACCCGATGTACATAATCCTGGAGTACGTTCCCCATGGAGACCTGCAGACCTACCTGCGACACATTCGGACGGGCACCGAACCCTTCTACCTGAAGAAGGGAGAGTTCAAGGAGAAGAAGGACCTGACACCGACGGAGATCCTGACTTTCGCATCTCAGGTGGTCAGGGGGATGGAGTACCTAGCATCAAAACAGGTGAGATCGCATGTAGATTTATGGTCTGTACGTGGGAATAAATCAGTGTACAGTGCGTCACTATCAGTTATGTGCCTCTTGCTTTTAAACGTTACCATGATGCAGGATTAGTATTTGTGCGTCCAGCTGGAGCTTGTGTGTGTAGTTAGTCATTCAGGATTAATTAATAAGCCAAGCAAAAACAAGTTAAAAAACACACACACACAAACATCTAAACCTTAACAGACAACCCAACCCCCAAAAAACAAACAAACAAACAGTTTGCTTTCCATACAAAACAAGGCCGGTTATCAACTGAAACGCCTTGTTAATTATTTACAACTTGTTCTCAACTGATTATTTCTCACCACTTAAAACTGTCTTTCAATTTCTATATCATCTCCGGAGTATGCTTTTGCTTTGGACGGGTCCCCTTCAACACAGATTCACACTCAATCTGATCGCTCTACAAACCAAACTTGTAACAATGCCTTTGTACCATTAAGTACTGATTTTAAAAGTTTGTCATTTTTTTGCCATATCACGCAGGCTCCACATTAATTCTTTCTCACACATTTTCTTGAGTCCGTAGTCCGATGTATTTTGTTCTCTTGTATTCTCACAGTGCATCCACAGGGACTTGGCGACCCGTAACATCCTCCTTGGCAAGGAAATGGTATGCAAGGTGTCCGACTTTGGACTGGCTCGAGAAGTGGCCGAGAAAAGCCAATACGAAATGAAATCACAGGTACATCTAATGTCATATTAGTGCATGCACTTTAAAGGCCGCCCTCAATTGATTGAATCCTGCCAGGAATCAGGTTGGCGCCGTGCAGCCTTCAATGATACATCAAGAAATAATTAGTTAAGCAGGGTACTAAGCCGCCAGCGAATATCTTTTCCGTAGGTGGGATGCTCCAAAGTCATGAATAATTCAATAGTTTTGATCAGGCCAGTATGTTTATTCATAAAACAGAGCAATGATATCAAAAGTATTGTTGTTATTTAGTCAGCCATTTTAAAGTACGGACGTCGTCGACCTACTACAGTAGCCTGGTGGATAGCGTGATAAGCAATGGATACAAAGATCCCTAGTTCGAATCCACGTCTTTACGGCTCATTTTCATCGACTATTTTCCTTCTCTGAATTCAAAATATCTTTGAGATTAGTTTTTTAAGGGAAAAAAAGAACGAGATCCTCCGTGTCTTGCAACGATTCAAACAGTAACTGAACTATGAATGACAGTTGAGCACCCCACCTACGGAAACAAATTTGCAAGCCGCCAACGCAGATTCCGAAAGTTTTAGTTGGGTTTTAGTCACCTATGCCGCCTGTGGCAGAGGATCTAGCCAGCTTATCACAGGATCGACGTGTGCGGAGGAAGACTGCACAGTGGTCGCCTGCTCCGCAGCCGAATGATGATGATGATGAACATTAATTGGATAAACCCTCGAGAGGGGAACATCAGTTAAAGACCTATTGTTCCTTCAGCTAGTGCCGCTAAAGCTACAGTTACAAACTGGGACTGCATACGGTATTGGACAAAAGTTGGTTGGCTGACAATTTTTCGGGTGTTTGACAGGAATAACATTTATGTATTACGCAGTTTTTTGAAATTCATGAATTGAAAGATTTGATTAATTAAGCAGGAAATCAATGATTCGAAAGTTCTCCACTTCGTTTGGATGGCGACATTTTTTTAGTAGATAACAATGCATCAACAATTTATTTTAGTAATTCTAGATACGTATTGAATTATTTGTTTTAAATCAATCTGAGCAGGGCAAAATACCGGTTCGTTGGATGGCACCTGAGTCACTGCTTAGTAATATGTACACGAGCAAGAGTGACGTATGGTCTTTTGGTGTTCTTCTGTGGGAACTCGTTACGTTAGGTGAGTCGGAATATCTGTTATTTATTTAAAGTGTGTTTGGCTTCTTTCTCTTGCTTTGATATCGCTGCCATATGAAATTAGAACTGGTATAATATCTGGTCTCTTTTACCTTATATGAACTCAAACACTCACACGTGACCTGTCACTGTCATTATTATGTTCACTTACGCATGCGCAATACAACGTATGACTCCGTATTTCATGAAGTCTAAATTTCACACTACAACGCACCCAACAATTTGTTTCTGGCCAAATGAGGGCGTCCTCAATGAATGACTCGATTTTAGTGGTAACAGTATAGGCCTGATGTCATGTATACTGAAGCATATTTTCAGATAGTAACTCAATGCTATTTTGCAAATGTAATGTTTTGAAATTTTAACTTTGAATTATAGCAAAATGCAAACTGACGTCACTTAAATTCACGCGTAGTTCACCCCCAAGTTGCCCCAATATGGGGTCGTTATACAGCGCCCTCAATTACTATTACCTGACTGTTTATTCACGTTCTGTAACACCTTTTCATCAGGATCGCATCCATATCCCGGCATGTCATCGCAGAAGGTCATCGATGAAATAAAGCAGGGCTACCGACTACCCAAACCAGAGCATTGTAGCGACGACATGTAAGTCTAATGGGGTCGATCTGGGTCAGTAACTCCTTAATTATCTGCGATTGGTTTCGATTTGTTGCAGTCATTAAAAATACTCAGACCAAGACACTTTGCGCCAGATATTGCTTCTGACCACTGCAAATTCTAGAAACTTCACTTGCTTCCAATCAACCAACGTACGGATTGTGTACAAGACAACACTCAACATGTACAAAACGTGTCCAACATGTTGTGGGCCTCAGCAAACCTAAACGACATGGTCTCCACTGGGAAGCCAATTTGGTCATCCCTCGCACCACCAAGAATACGGGGAACCGTGCCTTCTCCGTTGCTGGGCAACAAACATGGAACTCTCTCCCCATCACTATCCGGAATGCATCATCTCTTGAACAGTTTAAGGGACTCGTAAAAAACTTTTTGTTTTGATTTAATTTGTTTCCAATTCTGTTGATTTGTTTACAGCGTTTTTAATCCTTTCATTGGCAAAGACGTTTTGTAAATACCTGTTATTATTATCATTATCGCCAGCATGGGGTTGGTATTAATCGTATGTAGCATATTATTGTATCAGATTAAATGCGATTATGTGGCATTTGCAGGCCAGTGCACAAACAGGGAGAAAATTGCGGAGAAAAAATGTGTTGGAAATATTTTAGTAAAAATGATAGTTCTCAGAGGATTGAAGGCTGGTTAGTAGATGTTTCGGTCTGTATGCTCCAATTATCATCAGAAATAGGACCAACCATTCGATTACAGTCAGTGTATTGACCCAAAACAAAATCGAGATTTCACCTCAGGTTCTTCTGAAAACCAACAATTGACACAATTCAGTTCTTTCCTCACCAGTGTTTCCATCTTCCGTTTCTGCTATTCTATCGTTATCATCAGGGATCAATTTCCATGTCTGTACACACTGAAATATATTTCTATTGCAGATACCAGATAATGAAGGACTGCTGGCAGGAGAAACCTGAAGACAGGCCGGATTTCGCTGGTCTTCACACCACCATAGACGACATCCTTGCAGATGCAGCGGTGGGTATTCAGTTTCAAAACAGGTGTACTGATCTCCTGTCATTTTATTTCTCATATTTTCTGCCATAAGCATTCTGTCGCTGTGTACAACCCTGATCGCACTCAGGAAAGTCATTCTTGTTATTACGACCGATTATGTTGCAACATTTCTACTTCATGATCGACACACTGCAATGATATATCAAAGTTTGGGCTTACTTCGTTGTTTATAGGCAGTATTTACGACAAAAAAAATACAATTTGAAAGGCATGTAACTATACGTGAACTCATCCTTACTCACGCTCGAATTGGAAGAAAAACCAACTTAATTACTATAAAGCTACTAATCAAGTTGCACAAAACAACGTTGAAAGCATGATAACTTGCGTTTTTCCTAAATGTAACCTACATAATTTTTATCCAAAAACCTTACTTGGTTTAAAGATCTTTCTGGTACTAAACACCCCACAAAAATAGTTGATCTCCAATGACATTTTTGGAATAAAGAGTGCTATGGACGAATTCGTGTTTCGTAATCAAATAATAGTGTGCACGGTTTTCACTCTTTCAACAAGTTCAATATTCACTGCGCCTATATGGTTTGCTTTTTTATGGTTCAATACTATTTTTCGTTTATTTACAGGGTTATCTCGAGATGGGAAATCTTAATCCAGAAGATTACGTGTACCTGAAACCTGGCCAAGGTTCGAACAGCATCACTTGCTCACTCACACGTTCGGCAACAGGCAGCATCGAGTGAGTGATCGCGTACAATCACTACAAGCGTCACAGCTGTGCAAAAGACTGCAGGTTCAGTGTTTATTGCACTAAAGCAAGTTCGAGCGAGAATCGTCGTTAACCATAGTTCAACTGTCTTTCTCAGATGTACCTTAGGCCTGGAATAGTTTAACTTCTAGAGCCGACTATTGGCAACCCGACCCCGAGCTGGTTCTCGCGTTTGTTCTGATTTCTACGCTATATGTACATAACGGTCGAGATCTGTTAAGTTGCAGGACCAGATAAATTGCCGAGTGTATTAGGCAATTATTAATCCTCATATTTTTTTTAGGAAGGGAGAAGCTCATTAAATGGATTGTCTTAGCAGAGCCGATCAATTTACATTAACTTCGAGATATATAATTTTCTTTGGTGATGTGCTTAGCCGGTTTTAAAAAGTATGTTTAAGACCGCTTTAAAGTCTATATGGATGTTGATTTGTATCAACTATTTCGAACATTGGTCTAAATTCTTGACAAAATTGACGGTAACTGCTTGGTTGTACCGATGGATGTATGTAACATATCGTGAAATCATCTGTACTTTGTATCAGTGTATATATATTTTTTCGAATTACGAACTAAACTTGCAGGTATTGAAATACCTAAATCTACGTTCATCGAGTGAATCTATATTATGGATCAATTTCAAAATCTTTTGCACAACTGTTATAGAAATCACTTTATCCAGGCCGAATCGAAAACTGTTATATGTTTTTAAAAAAACTTTTGCAACTTACAAAATACAACAATTAACAGACATGATAAACTTTTAAGTACAGGAGTGGACTACCCTGACTTGCAACAAACTAAAGTGAGGATTATTCTGCCTCACATGTGTGCAGCTGTACTTAATCTATGTGAACATGCAGATTAAGAGTTTGTAAATCCATAACGATCGGGTGCATTCCTGATGCGATCTGGGTATTTCCTGTCAGCTGGAGGAACGGGTTGCGGTTCAGGTTCGGCCGATGCTTGTGGTTCTGGCTGATCGTTGGTTGCTGGAAGGATGACATTTTCCACGGCAGGTTGTTCTGGAAGTGGGACGGCGATAGCAGAGCCGAAGTCAATGTCGTCGGCCAGATTGTGTGACTCGTGATGTGGTTCATGTGGTATGCTCTCTTGTTGGCGAAGATGATCAACATGTCGTTTGATCTCGCAACCATTGTGAACTAAGCGGATTTTGCAAGAGACTGGACCAGCATAGCCTGTATTGGTGCCTGGTAGCCATAAGTAGCCAGTCTCAGTGAAGTTGCGAACTAGGACTGTGTCACCAATCTCAATCACACGTGTCTTGGCGTGCTTGTCGTGATGATGTTTCTGTTTTTCCTGTTGTTTGATGACACGCTGAGCTACATCAGGGCAAAGCTGATCAAGGTGGGAGCGTAAGCGTCGACCCATCAGCATTTCCGCCGTTAGCTTATAGTCCCCGCAGATTCTCACGGAAGACTTGTCTGACTTGAGGACTGGAACTACAGGCGCTGCCCACTCGGAGAACTCAACCGGTTCGATGATTCCTGCAGCTTGCAGACGGTCAAGTTCATTGTCCACCAATGTTCGCATGGCGTAGGGTACTACGCGTGCTTTGCAAAATCGTGGTCGGACGTGCTTGTGGACGTAGATCTTAGCGGTTGTTCCCTTCAAGGTACCCAACTCATCCTTAAATACTGCAGAATGAGTTTTGAGTACTTCCTCAACGCTAGTAGTAGTAGTCGTGTGCAGAATGTTGATTTGCTGCCAGTCAAGTTTAATTTCTTGAAGCCAGTTTCGTCCAAGAAGGTTTGGTCCATCGCCTTTAACAACGAGTAGCGAAGGTTGAACATCCTTGCGTTGTAGTCAACTTCCATATTGAAGTTTCCGGAACTGAAACTTGTTCCTAGGTGTAGGTGCAGAGTTTGAGTTTTGTCTTTTGCAGGTTCGCGTTTGGCCACCGTGACTTGAATGTCTGTTCTGATACAAGCGAAAGCGCTGCTCCGGTGTCCACCTCCATGACGAGGTCGTTGTTGTCAACGGACATGGTGACTTTGATTACCTTCATGCCCGGGCGGTCAGTGGAACATCCGAAGAGCGAGTACACGGGTGTGATCATGTCAACATCAGACGCATTCTCACCGCTTTCAGTGAAATTACTGTCCACAGCGGAACCCATTTGCTAGACATGTGGTGTTTTTCTCCTGTATCATATGTTGTAAAAGTCGTGTACCTTTGGTGCGCTACACAGGGTGGATAAAAAAAACACGAAATCGAGATATTATTGCTAATTGGGACAGAAGTAGGACACATGTGAATCAAAGGGAGATATCCTCTGTTAGGGTTGAATCTCCTCTGATCATGTCCTTACCTTCACGGTTGACTGAGCAGTGACCAATTTTATGCAAGGCTGTATTTACAGGCTTGTGCTACTTTTCATGGCGATTACTTTTTTTTCCTCACCTGCCTTAATTGGCAACCATAGCCTTTCACTCTTTGACAAATGACACCACAAAAACAACAATTGGAAAAGTGGTGCAAGCCTCTAAATGGTCACTCCTCAGTCAACCGGAGGGGTGGGGCGGCAGGTGTGTCATGGGGTGGGGTGGGTAAATATCACCCACCCACCCAAGAAAAAAAATGATAAATTGAGAACATACTATAGAAAATACAAGGATTTGTGGGGGACGTGCTTTGTCCCCCCCCAAAAAAGAAAATTCTGGCGACGCCCATCTTCGTGGGCTGTTCATGCAAGAACAACAGCCGAAGAAGAAACACAGTCCGAAAGCTTAATGACTTAATATTGGCAAGCATTGTTTTGAAATGGTCTGTGATGAGTTAGTTGACAACGTACTAACAACCACATCTTTATTTTCAGAACGCGCGCGCTCGAATCGATAGATCGAGCAAGCACAATTGCGTCACATTTCATAAAGGCACTGGTACGGCGAGTCTGATAATTATTTTTTTTGTGAAGGAAGAAATTCAAGACAGCATACATTAATGTCAATAACATCTGATAATATGTAGGGTTGTTTAAGTAACATGGAGCTTCGATTAAAACACAAATGAACATCCAGCACGAGGCGGTTTTCAACAATGACCTTGGTAGCTTATAATGGATGCTGTAGAATTACAGTGGACAAATACTTGTTCACCATTAATTATTTACTGTAATTAAAGAATAAAAATAAATTCTCTGTTCTTTTGGATGGTTTTCACGGAGTTTTTTTGCTGTAAGCCGTTGTTAAACAACGTCATTTACAAGGTTATATGGAGCGTTAAAGGTAGTACATGTTTACAAGATTTGCAGTTGCCATTATTTTCTGAATTTGGGAATAGTCATTTATAGAACATATCGTTTCACTGACGTGTTTAATGTTTTGTGTTATAGACAAAACAAGCGAAAACACAAATGGTTTTCAACCATCGGGCTGCAGCTTTCTGAATGCGTTTTGCTAGTAAACTCCAATGGAAATAAAATCCGAGTGTACCGAACGTACGCAAGAGGTCAATAGGTGGCTTATTTGAAGAAAAAAAAATCATCCAATGAGCGTTTGTTCGGAAGATCTTTGCACAATGAATTTACAAATCTTAAAATTAACATCATACAGGGCGAAACGATTTCACAGAATGATTGGTGCTATTATTAACCAAGCTAGCTGTTTCATTATAATTTCAAAATTTCATTTTGAGATTTGTGCAAATGTTGTCAACTGCCTTTTAGGATAGTTTAGTAAATTAACACTGTGGCATCATTGTTATATTTTTAAAAAAATGAGATTTGTAATACATTATGTAAAACAAAAATATTTGCTCATGACAAGCAAGACTGTGTGATTACTGGCCAACACTTAGAAAAAAATTGAAATTGGAACTTGATGTCTGAAGTTTATTCCATGTCGAGTATAACCTTATTCTAGTAAAAATGAAATGCACATTTTAGTTATTTCGACAATAACCGAGACTCTCGTGTATGTGTATGGAGTGCCATATCCAACAAAATACGACTATTGCTTTATTTCATAAACATTCACACTTTAGGCTGTACAAAAACTTAAAATGTAATAGTCAGTGATTATCATTGTCTTGAAAACTGGATGCAAAAATGCAGTTGGTTCACTTTCTTAAAAAAAAACACCACTAAGCACCGTGTGCCTATTATTACGGAAATGTCTCTGAAATGGCTTGAATGTTAATCCTCGGGTTAAAATCTTTTTAACGTGGCTTGGTCAAAACGAGAAATTCATGACGAACAATAAAATCCAGTGTTGAAACCAACCCGACCTGGGTTTTTTTTTTTTTCTTCTTCTTTTTATGCACGCGTGTTTTCTTTTTGAATTCTTATTCTCATGCGCACCATACCTGTTGTGTTTGACATGAAAGTGAACCCACTGCAATTTTGCATCAAAATCGCATGACAGTGGGGCTCAGTGATGCATGACCCTGGAAATGTAAACAAGGTAACATTGAAAAGCATAGAGATGACGCTTTCAGGTGATACCAGTTTTATAGGCAGTAAACATTTAGCCTGTCCATACTGGTTCTTCAAAGTTGGGTTTCCTTTTTATTGAAACACCATGTGGTAACCAAATGATCAACAAAAAGTATCTCTAGCGCCCGGGTATTTACGGGTATAACATAGCTTCATTTACCTACGTAATATTCATTATTTGCGTTTACAAAATTTGAAATTCAATGACGACTTTGTGCGTTAGTAAGAACTCAGATGATACGAGGGACGAGCTTTGCTGCGTCATGTCATGTCTGAAATCTGACGAAGGTGACAAAAAATGGCAATGTCTCCATTTTAGCTTCGCCTGCTATTTGGCTCCATAACTTAAAGATCCAGCTGAACATTAGTCAATGTTTCTCTCAGAATATAAACATGCTACATGAAGCAAGTGATTTATTTGGTTTGATCGGAACATTAAAACATTTTAACGATACAAGACAAACAGGAAACAGAGCCAAGCTTTGAAAAAGGGCCATCATGTTTATTTATAGCCCGGTGCCGTTTAATAAGTGACCTGCAATTTAGACGTCAGGGCGTCGGAGAATTGTCAGGTCATGGAAATAGACATGCAGCGGTTGTTCCCAACAGCGTGCAACATATTGGTTAGAACCAGATAACCTCGTACATCTTGTGTTGACACAGAGCGTGGTGCTGGTACCTCGGATTAATCCGTACCGCACTGTACCGTTGTGAAGGCAACGTAACATATTAGACAAATTACTTTGGCGGTTTTTCCCCAATTCTGCACTTCGTTTTCTAGGTATTAAAGAAATTCAAGATAGGGTCGGCAGCATAGAAAAACATGCCGTTTTTCTTCGGTCGGGAGGCCAAAAAATGTTTGGTCGGAATTGAGAACCATAGAATTAGAGACGCGCTAATGACTATAGTAATACAAATTATTAATTTCGTAAGGACGCCTACGATTGGTTGTCACAGTTTTGCCTTGGCGGTGGAAGTCAACCGGAACGTCAATATAATGTACAGCAACGTATGCCTCAGCATTGCTGGCCCAAAGTGCTCTTTTAAATGGTGATTAGAGATATCGCTACCGCTGTAGAACATTTGCGCACTCGCGATCCTTTACACATAATTATTAATCAGCCAACACTGTGAATGTACAAATACAACCATCAGACATCACA